ACCACAGGGCGGCTGCAGCCACAAAGGCTGTCTTTGAGGGCTTCTTCTTGGACCTCTGTCTTGAAAGATATGTTGGGACAGGTACTGTTTCCTGTGGAAAAGGCATTAAAACAGATATATGAAGACAAGGTGTCTTTATCTGTAGCATCATCTCAGCTCATGAGAGTGTGTTTCCTGCCTCACCATTACAAGGGGCATTTCCCACCACAGTGGGAACAAGGAAGGACATGAGGTAGTAAGAGGCTCTCTAATTTTTTTTCAAGGGTCTCCATGTGCTGCTGCAGGCAGTTTGATCTGAGGAACCTCCTTCTTCCTTGCTTCAATATGCTCCCTTCTCCCAACTCTGAGAAAGACCCCGTTCTGTCCCCCAGGAGCAGCTGGTGGGCCCACAGAAGTGAAGAACCTCCTGTGCCTTCCTTCTGACTCCCACATAATGTACTGTGTCACACCCGTGGGCCCCTTGGTTTTCTGAAACTGACTGGCATACAAGGAAATCACAAGCACTGTTCGACCTCTCATTCACCCACATTTCTGACCCTCCTGAGTCAGGAAGTGTGTGCACAGTGGGACAGGATTTAACAGGACCGTCAGGGGCCTGGGGTGGTAATTTACCAGCACCTGGATGTTCTGAGTTATTTTGCTCATATTCCTCTATTTAATTCCATTTTATTTTCGGCCTGGCTGTTCACCTAGTACATTTTAGAAATGGATAGATAGTTCTTACAGTGTTGTCTAAATAATACTAATACTACCACTAAACAACAACAATAATATTCAATAACAACAACAACAATAATAATTATAATGATAATAATAATAATCATAATAATAATAATACCACCACCATTAAAACCGTTATCCTGGTTTTCTTTGGCAGTCAGCATAACAGGTTCAGTATATATTGTTACGAAGAAGCTCAACTTCCCTCCACTCTACTGAAGTGCTGCCTCATTTTGTATAGTGTGACTTGAAATACGGGCCTTTTGTTTTTTTTTAATTAAACTAGTCTAAAATGAAAACTCTTTGTTTCAAGTTAGACCTCTCTGAAAAGCTTAGGATTTTGACCTCATGAAATATAGTAAGCTACATTTTTTCCTCATTAACACATTCAAAAAAGTTCCTGTTTTACCTTGACGTTACTAGTAATGCTTTTCCAGTGCTTTGTTTTGATTTCATGGTTTCTGCATAGTGTTTAACACTCTCATGACACAACCTTTCTTTGATAGGTTACAGGAACTGGTTTCTTGGTTGTTCAGCCAAATGCTGGTAGACTTTTATGTTACCCATTCATGCCACCTGTGAAATATTAAATAATGTGAAAAATGCAAGTACACACCTGCATTACGTATTATTAATTAACATCATCTATGTAAGTTAATGCAAGCTCTAGTATCCACTTTTTTGTGTTTTGTATGCCTGAATTATTCTGTTGAAATATTTGTTAAAATACAAACAGTTTATATACCAGTATGAGCTGCATATCATACTCACTGCCAAATCTCACATTATTTCAACAGCAAGAGACCCAAAACTATCTCCATAGATGAAAATATGGAGCCAAGCCCGACAGGAGACTTTTATCCTTCTCCAAATTCACCAGCTGCGGGGAGTCGGACATGGCATGAAAGAGATCAAGGTGAGTTACATGGGAACATTTAACCTTGAAGTATATTCAAATATACAATAAATCTTTGCATCTCCCTTTCCATTACTGCAATAAAATGATGGCTTTTTAGAAGAATAATTATTTTTCTGTCTGGTATGTGTATCTGCTGGTTTTGCAGATGTAGTTAAAACCGACAGTCAATAGAATATGATATAAACAACCATATAATAATTTTTCCATCTGGTGACTGCCTTATCTATTGTTTGAAAAGATGTGTGGCAAGTGAGGTACTTGATATTGCGTGTGCTGTGATCACCCCAGCGGGATTTTGAGTACCATGGTTTCAAGTAAAAACTGAAACATCTCCATACTACGGTTGAGTCAACACTAGTTTACTCAGTTTTTATCTTACCGTGACAGACTCCTGTATGTGCATTTAGTCTGTACTGTGTGACTCACAATAGGTCCAATCGGCTCTTTTCTGAAGAGCCCACACATAGCTCTGTGGGACTATATCCATATGCTAAAGGATGTTGGTAAGTGGTGTTGTGTTTTTGGGTTAACAGAAGCAAAACACATGTTTGTGTGGAGAAGAAAGCTATGGTTGTCAAAACAGTAAAATTAATTGTCATAACTTTCCCTCATGTTATCTTGATGCTTTATAAACCCAGATGCCAGTGTAGTCTTTTCCCTCACCTCCGTGATGTGAAAAGGTGTTTAAACTTGCATGTATTTGAACAGTGTTGGTTAATGGTTGCTGTGGCTGCCGTGCTGCAGCTATTTGGAGTGTCTGTGAAATGTACAACAAAATACATAAAAGTGCTCTCACTGCTCATCATTGCTCTCAGTTCTTCAGTAACTGACCTAACCTTTGGTCTTACCTCATTTTTGTTTTGTTTTAGCCTTTTTTCTCCTTTCTTTTTTTTTTTTTTTTCACCTGCTAAGTTTTCTCTTTCATCTCTGTATGCAAAGTAGCATGTGATTGGTATTTAACTGCCTCTTATTTTCACATTTTTGTTATAGTTGGTCTCCTTTTAATCTGCTACTGCCTACTGTCTGATCTGTCTTCTCATCATTAGGCTCTTTCTCTCACACAATATTTATGAGTCTTTTTCTTCCTTGTTTCTTTTGAACTTTTTGTTTCTCGTGGAGGCTCTGATATTTTCTTATTTCTAGCTGTTTGCAACATTCACTATTGAATTTTTTTTTAAAAGTCTATCTTGCCCATGAATTTGCATAACCGAACCTAAGAGCAGCAAAATAGCAGTTCTGCCAGCCAGAATATTCCCCGTTGTGCAAAATATTTTCCTCTTTAACTGTTACGTTTTTTGCCATGACACTTTATTATGATTTTTCATAAAAGGCAGGATTGTACCTCAACTAATTTTTGTGTGGTTGTGGGGAAAGCAGACCATCTTTCCTCTCTGAAATAGTCTCCACGTATCCTTGAGGTCCCTTCCAACCCGGGTCATTCTATGATTCTATGACCCCCGCTTGTGAAACTAAGTCCTTTTGTGCTGCTGAGTGAGCTGTAGAGGCTTCTGAGAAATGCAGTGCTGCATGGACAGCTGAGCTCCAGTCCTGATGACAGAGCCTTTCACAGATGATCTCTGTAGTTCACAACTATCTCAGTTGCTTTTTAGCTCGTGAATCATTCTGCTTGCAAAGAACTGTGCTCTGTGGATACTGGATTTGTTTGGTTTTACCAGCCTTCATGTCACATTTCTCAGTAGTGAACAATGTTATTCAAATTCTTTCAGGAGATTTACGGTGAACCATTACTTAATTTCTGTTCCATTGTGTAGCTAGACTTCTGGTCTGAAACAGCCTTTAACTCTCTCTATATATTTCATAAACCAGAGAACTCCAGAAGATGAGAAAGAGAGAATAAAAGAGATAGACTTGAATCAATATATTTTACTTTTCCTCCTGGAATTTACATTCCTCCCTGAATATCCTGTTCTCCAGAACTGCTGTGCCTAGTGAAATTTTACCATATCCCTGGCAGAGAGGTTTTCTTTGAGATGCTATGAAGGACTTCTTTTTTTTTTTTTTTTTTCCGTCCTTAAGAAGTTCTTCCATTCCTGCAGAGGGATAGATATACCACTGCCCAGTGTGAAAATCATTATACTAGTGGAAGGATAAGTCTTTCCCCCCTAACTGTTTATGTTTGGCTCCAGTCACCTTCTGAGGTTATCCTGCTGCTGTGGAAACACTGTAAGGTAGTGACCACAATGCCTGTCCTTGGTACCTGGCTCACTGGGAAGGAGTATGCAGCAGCTCCAGGCATATTTGTTCTGCTGCTAGTTTGTTGGATGCTTGATATGGTCTTCATACTAGCGTGTGTCTTTGTAAAGCTCCTTTTGGACACATAAGTCTTACGAAGATATGATATTTGTGAAAACCTGCATTCTGTTTCCTTATGCCTGCAAACACGAAGATGATAGAAATAAAAGTTTGGAGGTGGTTTCTATGCCAGGGAGCTCACTGGTACTATTTCTCTCTCTCCCATGGAGATCTGTGTGTCATATGAGGTTAGGCATAAATGAAAAAAAAGTTGAAGCCATTTGGGATCACATTCGCATTCACCCAATGTCACCAGGGGATGGATGCTCATGTAGTCCCAACAGGCACTGCTTTTACAGGCAGTCTCCAAAGGTCATCAGCACCAGAAATGTGAATCATTCCACAGTACCCATAAATGAAAATGTGCAGAGGTATCATGTTTATGGGCAAGTAGTTTCTCTTTCACTCTGATGTTTTCTAAGAGAAACAAAATCAGAAACAGGATTGATATTAAAATACGGCATTGTTGATTTCAGTTTTCTTGTCTCTGTTTTGAACCTGATAGAGCAAAGCCTCTAACTTCTGACCAGAAATAGATTTAGTTTCTTCATCTGCATACCTAGTGTAATGTGTTTTCATAGAAACATAAATGACATGGATTTGAAAGATTCTTTTATCATTAAGGCTCTTCATATCTTTAGCTGCATTTGTAAGGTAGCAGAAGTGAGATGACGGTGGTAGTTTGGAATTGGAGGTAGCCACAAAAGAAAAATGCTAGCTGAAACAGGTTAGAATAATGTAGTTAGAAGTTTCACAGGTGTCTAAGGGATATCTAACCATTTTGATAGAATGAGACAAAGATTAATGGGTAAAACAGGAATATACTGAGATTAAAAATGTGACAGATGAAAATTTGCAGTGGGGTGGAATGTGATATATCAACCTTTTATTGCTGTGGAAAACGAATATGTAGTTTAGTAGCTAAGTAGATACCAGGAGAGGAGCGATTCCGTATGAATGATTCTGTCGTAATACTCATAATTTCTACAGCTTCTCTACTGTGCAAGCATACATCATGAGCAGTAGGAACATGACTACAGTAGTACTTGTGGTTTAGTGAGGATGGGGCATCTGTGAAACTAAGAAAAAGAAATCTAGCCCAGCTGCAACAAAATCTTCCTCATGTCACATTCTACTTTCAGTTGTAAAACTCCAGACTTTGTGCTTTTGCTGTTATCTGTCTTCTTCCTGTCATACTAATTCCAAAAATGTTTTGATAATATAGCCATCTGAAAAACTAGAAGTTTACATGGCATAAGATTGGTTAAAGCCAATCTGTGAAAGGTTGTGATCAGTGGCTTCATTATCCAATGCTCTAGTATTATGCATGTTATTGTTCAGCTATAAAAATATAAAAATCTCTAATGAACCAAAAGTAGTATTAAAAATAAATTTTTATTTGTATTTATTGAAGTCAGATTATGAGTCCTTATGGAAGAAATAAAAAGTTTGTGAAGCCATGATGCTGTCCTGGAGGTTTACTGCATTGGCTTGCAAAAATTTGGGACTATTTTAAAAATATATTTAACCACGAGAGTATGTGTAACAGTTTCAAAGACAGATTAAAAAAATATTGGGAATTCACAGTGTTGTTTTTTTGAGTTTGCATACATTGAGTCATTGTGGGAAGATTCTGTAGTTTGTGCCATTATTTTTGCTATGACTCTGTTTGCATGACTTTTCGAAACAGTTATGAATTCTTCTTGCAGAGCAAATAGGCAGGTTTATAACTGCAAAAGAGTTATCCTAAACCTTCTTTATACTGTTAGCCTTCCAAGTAACCATCCTCCAAAAATCCCAGAGCCCAAGAAAGTAGAAAATAATCTCTGAGAATGGTGCATTACTTAGAAATAGAATCCTAAGACGACAATTACAAGCTCAATTTCCATGTCTTCTGTCAGATCTTGTGCAAATTATTTGCTCCCTCTTGTACCTAATTTTTTGTGATTGAATGTCTTATTACCTTCAATGTCTGGATCATGTCTTGCTTACATTTCTACCAACTGGAAATATATCTAGGTCTGAAAAGTAGTTTGCTGTAAATTTCTTCCAGTCTTCCTTTTTCCAGGTTTCTGCTACGGAATATTTTACATGTTTCTATATTAAACAAAATTTTGAGTTCTTGCAGTAGTGTAGTAATACTCTGTAAAATAAATGGAAGTTTTTGCATGAGTAAATTTGCTATGTGTTTTAAAAATTGTGAGGAGGATAAAATTTTGTACAGTAAAGAAAAAAAAATCACCTTCCCCATTTGGAAGAGGAAGTTATTAAAAATATAACAAAACTAGTGATTAGTGCAGTAGATAAAAAATACTTCAGATCTGGTAGGCTAAGAACATCTTGATTTATTGACTGGTAAGTAAATCAGATATTTTTTCCTTAACTCATAAGGAAACAAGAATAACAGGAGAACAGAGCACGGTGTGTGCACCTATGACTTCCCTTCTAATAGCTAGCTTGACAAAGCACATTAACATAATTGCAGAAAATTTCAGTATTTGCCCTTGAGATCTGTTTGACTGTTATAGTGTTACAACACTGTGTACGTTGCAAATAAATAAACCAGGTATTATCACCAATGCACGCTGCTCATGATAAAAGTGGAGAGATTCATGTGGATTTCTGTAGTAGTCAGGTGTCTGGAAATACTAAATGTCAATATACAATGAAGTGAATTTTGATTT